GGGGGGGGGGCGTTGAAATAAATTACAAAAAAAATATTTGCCCAAATTTGCCCAAAAATCTGAAATGTTGGTTAGAAACCTTAGTCCTTGTTCTTCTACATGGCATATATTTTGTCTTGCCGCCCTTTGCCGACTTCAAAAAATAAATCAGTTTAAAAGTTTGCCCTTAAAAATTTTCACTTCTGACCTCTCGTAGATCGCGAAAACAATACCCAAAAGGAAGTAACAGCTGTTCTCTATCACGTGTTAAGGTAGGGTTGTTCCCGATGCAGTAGTTGAGACACGCCGTGCATTGTAAGAGCGGGTTGAAATCTGATACTCTGGGGACAGTTTTAATGGCGCTTCGCGAAATAGAACAACTAACGCCACCTAGGGACGTCTGCGCTCGCTAACTACAGCATATAGTGGATTAATGTATTGTATTGTATATTGTATTGTATGGCAGTATTTTCAAAATATTCATGTGTTTTGACATTCTGCTGTGCCTGTTCTGGTTTTCTGTTTATACTGAGTGTCCTGGAAATTAAACAATCCCATATAATGCACCCTCCCCCCCCCAAAAAAAAAAAAAAAAAGGCTTCATAAGTTTGTTTTTTTAAATCAAATTATGATCATTGTACTGTACAAAACCATGTACTCAAAAGTTTCTGTGAAATCTTTCAGGCCTGTCACTGACCACAAGTCTCTCTGTGGTAAAGACTCGATCATTTCAACCAGAGATATTGTGAATTTTATAAATACTGTTTTTTAAATACATTAAAGTGGTTAATAAATTCATAAAAATTGAACATTCCTATTGGGTGATTGCAACACAAATGAAAAGTAGACTACCCAATAGCTCTGTTCCATGCAGTGAAGGCACCAAATTGCTATACAGATAAAGCAATGTTATTTTAATGTTTCCAAAATTATGTATCTGAAAATTTGATAAATTTATCCTGGTTAAAATAATTGAGTCATTACCATAAATATCTATCACAGAGCCCATGTCCAAACAAATATACCATCATCCTTGGGTCAGCCATCACTATCATCTGTCAAGAATAGACTTTAATTGAAAAGATAACATAAAATAACCTGCTGAGTTTTGATTTTACAATTAACTTATATTATACATATATTCGAATAGAGTGTGGATTCCAGCAACGCATATTACAAGCCACATTGTAAGCCGTTTTTACTAGTTTCACGAATAAAGTCAAGAGATAAACCTAATTATCACTCAATCAGCCATAAAAGAGCTTTAAAACTGCCGCTATTTAAATTTGTGAAGTAAATTGACCTACGCATCTTATCTGCTTATCTGCCCTTGTTATATACAACATGGAAAATAAGCAGAAAATATTCCTTCAGTTATCGTATTTCGGTAAATATGAAACAATCCTTCGGTGCTTTTCTGATTTATACTGTTTGAAACCCTATGGTGGCATATGATTGGCTTTTGTGGCAAAATTTTGAATTCAAATGCATCTTTAAAAGTTAATGTTTTATAGATATTTTAAAACATTGATATTCACATTTAAGTTCATGCTGTACAAATTTTATCTATTTAAAGTGAAGATTTGATTTTCATTTAAGAACTTGAAGAGACAGTGGAAAAAAGAAATCAAGGGTATTCGGTCTATTCTAAGGAGATCTGGTATTTCAACAGGTATTTGTGGATGCTTTTTATTTATTTATTTATTTATTTATTTATTTATTTATTTATTAAATTAGAATAAATAAAATTTAATGAGTTTTCAGTTTAAAATGCTGTTATATATTTTGGGGGGGATTTTCATAAGTTACAAATGGAGACTCAAGAACAAGGTTGCTCTGTGAATGCTGTATACTATGGACGTTCTTTGAAAGATTAAATTTTACCTTTTTTTTTTTCCTCTACACTTTCCTGTAAAGCATCATGGCAGTGGTTCCGGACAGGGCCTCCTGAAAGACAGAAAGAGGAAAAGGGTGAAAATAAAAATGATGGAAATAAAAATGGAGGAAATCCAGATTTTGGAATGTTACTTCTTATTAGCATGTGTAAGTAGATCCTTTTATCAATATAAGTATGAAGAACTACAGGCCTACCCAACTACCAGACTTGGCAGCAAATGATACTGAATTCACTGATATATCATAACACACTACCTATTTTCAAGGTGTGCGTCAATATGCGCTTCGAAGTATCAGATGCGACACCGCTTCTTGCCTAGTACGCGATGTGATAGCAATGATTCTGAGCGTGGAAAGTAGTGCATCTCATCTCAAAATTTGTTATAGGGTATGATACTGTGAAATGTGTACTGACGCACACCTTGAAAAGGGGTAGAGTGATCTGATCTACCAGTGAATTCGGGATCATTCGGTGCCTAGTCTGGTAGTTGGGTGTGCCTGCATTTCCTGCATGTCACCTGCATTTCCCAGGATAACACAAAATGTGGCAAACCACTGTTTAGTTATGTAATATTTCACAAAATTGACAAAAAACATATACTGTCACAATAAGCAGTATAAAAGAAAACTTACCAACTCAAATTATAAGAGCAATTCTAAGGAATATTTAGCATTATGTAATATTGCATACAAATTGACAAAAAATTTTTTGTGCCCCATTTTTGTTCTTCGTGTCTGTACATTTGACCACTTTGCTGCCTTGTTATGTACAGACACAGATGTGTCTGTATATATTGCTGTCACCTGCGTCTGTCGTCGCCGTCATCGCCGTTGCCGTGCACTTTCATTGTAAACACGATAAGTGGAAGGCAGTTTTACTTTTTGGCTTTATATTTACAGAGCTGATGAATATTCATAAAACACAGGCAGTCTGAATTTCGGAACATGAAGTGACAGAGAAAGTGTATTCTTGACACGTGATTAAATGGTGTCAAGAACAGTTGCCTCGTTTCGCTGCGTCTCTCATACTTCACAGAACTGCGAAAACGAGGCACTTACAGGGAGATAGTAACTGCTGGTTATTTTTAGGCATACGCGCATGCGTATTTCCGTTACTGCTAAATCAAGTGCTCAGAAGCATGGGATTACGTATGTAAACAGAAAATGCCATATTTGCTTAGAAATAAGTATAATTTTCAGTTAGCATGAGTGAAAATATACTTTGTCTTTCCATTCAGCCCAACGAGGCGGTGCTTTTGACAAATTTCAGCGAGGCGCTTGCAAATTTCAGCGAGGCGGGCGCCTCGCTCATTTAAGTGCAGGGGAAACACTGACTATGTTCAGAATCTCGTAATGGAAGAAATTGGACATTTAACACTGCTCTATTGATATTTTTCCCATCTCATCAATTTTTTTAGTTGATCATATAAAAATGGCAGTAAACTGTCAATTTTGTTTTATGTTAAAAATTGTTAAAAATGAAAAAAAAAATCATTTCAGAACAGTGCTGTCTTGTTTACATTTTGGCATTTTCAAGTTGTGACTTTGAAGTTCTATGGGACTGAAGACCTTTGCTAGTCACATTATCTGAATATCCATGATACTAATATTTTATTATGAAAAATTGATGGTCATTATGCTGTTAAACGTTATGTAATATTGCATCAAAATTTGAAAAAACCCTATTTTGGGCACTGCTCCCATGATGACCATTTCAGAAAANCTTGAAGACCCATGCTAGTCACATTTTCTGAAAATCCATGATACATATATTTTATTATTAAAAATTGATTGTCATTATGCTGTTAACCATTTTGTAATATTGCATCAGAATTGAAGAAAACACAACTTTGGGTGCTGCTGCCATGATGACCATTATGGGAAAACCATGTTACTTATGATTGCCAAACTTTCAAAAAAGAAATACAGGACTAAAATGCAGCCTGAGTTGGAAAAGCAGTCTAATTGACTTCTTTTTCTGGAAGTTATACATTTTCAAAGTGTGAACTTGAACTCCCATGGGCCTGAAACCTTATGCTTGTTACACATTTTACTTACATTGATATTACCTGTTGAGCATAATTAAAATTTGATGTTGAATTTGCAGTTTAACATAATGTACTTTTGCATCAGGATTGACAGTAGCCTATTTTGTTATTTCCTGCTTTTTGTCTGTACATTTGACAGCTTTGCTGCCTTGTTTTTTATGTTGTATATTTTTAATTTTTCAGTGTTTTTTATGACACTGGGAGAAATTGTAGCAACAAGTTTACTCTCTGCTGGATATATAGAATGGAACATGGTTTTAAAAGATGTTTTGCCCACTGGGGAGGTAAGTATAGTTTTTACTCAAACATTTTCAAGGGTTGTTGCCCTCCCAGGAACCAGGTACTTTGAGTAGCCATCTGTAAAGGTTCACATGGTCCAATGGCAAGCATAGATTTCAGAGTTCTTTACCGACAACTGCTATTCTGGTGGTAATTTGATTATATTTCTTTGTGTTGTTTACAATATATTTATTGTGGAATTTTGAATCTCATATGAAGAGTTATATTCCCTTTAAATGATATAAATTTTATGAAATGTTTTTTAGGTGAAGCAAATAAATATTAATCCTCAGTTAAAAAAAGGCGAGGTTATACTGCATCGTGGGGCTGTTTTGGACGCATCCATCATGGTAGGAAAATTGCTATAATATTGTTGTTTACTAATATTTACTCTTTTTATGTACAGACACAGATGTGTCTGTCTCTGGAAAAGCACCCTAAGTACCTTACGGTAATGTGCCATGAATTTCAAACAGTAGAAAATAATTGAATTTGGGAAAAGATCGTTCTGGCCGAAATTCATGAAATGGAGGTGCTCAGAACTTCTGAAAGTTAGAATTTCATGGAAATCTGTCAATTTTGACCGGAAGTTGTCTGTTCGTCGCTAGGCCTTCTGTTATCTTCTCCCGACGATCTATTTAGAGTTACCATAATGTATGATGTGTGAGTGTCGGTAATTGCGACCAAAGGTATACACGTACTTTTACCCGATCACTGTATATGGCCCATAGGTAGAGCGGTACTGTTGTCTAGGGCGGCAAAACAGCATCTTTATCAGTAGTGTCGTTTTTCAAAAGCGATTCTGGCAGCCAGAAACTAGTGTCGTTTTTCAAAAACGATCCTGGCGCTCAGAACGGGAGTGGACGGAGGGAGAGACAGCCGACAATTAGCGTCTGCCACGGCCAGATAACCTTTACTATGGAAGCTAAGTGTTACCGTTGCTCCTTTCCGTGCACTGAAACCAAGACGACAGCCGATCAGTGTCTATGGCGCACGTGCAGGTAGCCTTCATCTGCGATAAGTGTCTTCCGCGACCAGGTTCGTTGCCTTTACCGTTAAAGTCGGGCGGAGCTTTACGAGCGAATGCGTCCTCATCTCGCCGTTCGCGGGTCGGTGTCTCCGACGCATACGTAGCCTTCCCTGCAGAAGCCGGCCTCGGCACTACGGCCTCTCCTCCGTGCGGGGAGGCCACTACGACCGCAGATCGGTATGTGCGGCGCACAGGTAGCCTTCGCCACGGCAGCCGAACTGTGTATTACGGTCTCTCTCCGTCGTGCGCTGCGACCAAGATGACCGCTGATTGTTGTCTGCGATCAAATATACTAGGTTTGGGGGGGTTTGGGTGCAGGGCCGGTTTTTTTTTTTTTTTTTTTTTTTTTCGCTCAGGCAACCCAATCTTAACCAGCAGCAGCAACTGATTTCCTGGCGCATAGTTGCGTCAATGTACGCATTTGAAAAGCGTGTACGTTTTGTCATTGAAACCATCTTCAAACAAACGCGAGAGATAGGTAATCTAGAGTAAACCGAAAAGGCAGTTTTTATATTCGTTCAAGGGACTGGAAGATCGTCAATGGGAGATAGTGAGCGATCTGAGCGCGACAATAAGCCAATTTCCACACTAGTTCAAGGGACTTCGTTACTATATTCGTCAGCAAGAGATCGTCAGCGATCCGAGCAAGCATAGAAGCTTGGACTTTTTGTCCATGCTAGAAGGCAATTTTCATGTAGTCAGCAGGATATGGTTTGCTGGTTTGCGACAGGGGCGTAACCAGGCATACGCACGGATACACTGTGCGTATATAATTTTTTGGCCAACCATGATATTATTCTCTATAAATCTAGTGTACTTTTCAAGGAATATTATCGAAAATCCCCTTCGATTATAAGTTAATGTCACCTGAATGTACAAATTCTCTGTATAATTTATATATGCACCATTGTTCTGACACCCTTCTCGTTTGCTTTCACAGAACTGAGGTAAACAATACTAGTTACCATCTGAAGTCCGATCTTAATCGTCCATCTAGCTGGAACTTGCTTTACCTCTTAATTAGAGGGTAAAGTGCCCTTCAGCTCACAGGTAGCTTTTGTCTTGAGTGTATCGAACGCGATATTTATCTCAGATAAAAATCTACCTGTGTGTTTATTTCAAAGAGCTGCTCCAGCAGACCTGGGGGCACTAGATAAATCTGATCATCGGGCTAAACAAGGAGCCAGAGAAACAAAGGAAGATTGATTTTTCCTGCAAAGTTTCAAAGAATTTTGACACGGACTTGATCCAGCTTAACCCTCCAAACTAACGGGGTGGCATGGGCAATTTTTACAAAATTTACAAACAATTAAACTTAGATATATTACAATTTTATCCTTTAATATAATTTTGGGAGGCATGCACCCGCATGTAAGCTGGGTGATGTCAGTAAGCCCCTAGTTAAATAAATATACCCTTATGAGCAAGGCTTTTCCCAGCGAACCGTCCAGCCGTCATTTGGACGGCCGCTGACATCACCGGACGGCCTATATTTTCAAAGACGGCTAGACGGCTTGCGACTTTTTTTTAATGACGTCTTGGCTTGTCGGGACAGCCGTGGACGTTGTAAGAAATTTTCTTAGAGTAATTTGACGTACCTAGCTTTTATGATGCGTCACAGATGAATGGTACTACTTTGTAGTGTACGCTGATATTCAGTCACGACGAAACTACTTCCTAAAGCTTACAAAACACAATAAAATGTTTCTATGAACTTTAAGATACACATTCCACGCCGTATGCAGCAGTGACAAGAGTGACCTTCATGCGGTACAAAACACTAAGCAAACTACAGGCCAATTTGTGAAAGGGGACACCTTCCGGACCTTCATACGCACGGCAACTGACAAAGCTGATTGACAAAAAGGAAAATTTCAAATTTTCAGCGAGAGATCGTTCGCAATCCGAGAGAGACCAGGAGGCAATTTTCATATTTGTTAAAGAGACTTCGTAAGCCAAAGGGCGAGACGAGAACGCAATTTTCGTATCGTCAGCGTCGCAATCCGAGTGAAACGAGAAAGCTCATACTCGTTCAGTGGCTTTCGTTTGCGGAAGATCGTCAGCCGGAGATCGTTCTCGATTGTTTTTAACCCTCCATCCCTCCCCATTGGAATTTATAATTTTTAAAAATATTTTACATTTCATTTGTACATTTCAAGTGACTTCATTAGCGGAAGATCGTCAGCGGGAGATCGTGAACGATCTGAGCGAGACAAGAAAGCAATAATGGTAATCTTTATTGCAGCTTTTAATATTGCTCTTTTGTTCTATTACTGAAGTCTCTACTGTTAACAATGCTATTGTGCGCCTCAGCAAAACTACCGATCGCTATCTCACACCGAATACTGCGGTAAAGAAACAACAGCCCGACAGTACAACTCTTAATAGATTCTCCTGTTATCTGAATGAATGGATATGACGATGTTGTTTAGCGTCCTAAACTAACTGTACCGATCGTTATCTTGCACCTTGGGTCGCACACGTAGTACTCAGGTAAAGGTACGCTAGGGCAACATTCCCGACTGTTAGATCTTTATAAGCGCGAGAATAGCCCGGTGGCCGATTTTAAGGTGTACGAAATTCACGAAATCAAGATCGCGCAAAATTGCTTACTGGCCGAAATTCATGGTCCAGAAAAAACTCCAGACGGCCGATTTTAAGATCGTTCGAAATTCAAGAGCCGTTCGAAATTCATGGCACTTTACCGTATATCTCCAAAACTGGCAGAGATATGTCCATAGTTACTATTGAACTTTAATAGGAAGTAATATACTGGCAATTGAACTGTGATCTTGAAATTGACCTTTGACCTACTTTTTGACATGGACCGCACTTCACAAATTTGGAATAAACTAACTTTTACCCACGATTTTGTTTTTAATGGTAATTTTCATTAATTTTTTTTTTTTTGTACTGTAGTGAAATAAAGTGTGTGTGTGTGTGTGTGTGTGTGCGTGCGTGTAGTGTGAGTCTTAGTTGAGGAATGCACCTAGAAGTCTGTAAATCGTGATATAATAATAATAATAATAATAATAATAATAATAATAATAATTAACAGTAATATTTATTTGCAACCAAAGGTGCGATGGTGCATATATGATACTAAAATTGGTAAATGTAATAAAGGCTTATTCTATCAGAATTTTTTTTGTACTTTTGACCAGTGAATAATGAAAATTATTTGATACTTATTTATTCATTTCTTAATTGATTTGCAGCAGTATGTCTCTAACCATCCAATGCAAGATGAAATAAGGCTGCGGGTTGATCTTGAGAAAGTCGATAATCCTGAATTAAGTTTGCGCAAGGCTGAGAAAAACTTAGGAGTAGCTCCTGGTGATGGTGTGTCTGTTGTCTACAAGAATCTTAGTGCAGGGTGAGTAAAGGACCAAGGCATGGTCTGATAGAGCACTCCCACAAAACATTTTAATAAGTATCTTTGTATAAAAAAACTTTTGAAGGTGTGTTTTCAAAATGCTTTGGGGATTCTTTTGTACAAACCCACACAAAAGCATTATTTAGTGTTGGACAGATAGAAGACATGGGGGAATGCTTGCATACAATTCTACAAGGGTGTTGTTGTGTGTTTTGATATGACGTCATCACTTTGTGCGAACGCAGCTGAGTCGGTCAGCCATATTGAATCTAAATAAAGCTAAGCAGCACTTCCAAAGCACGTTATTCCCTTGTTTATATGTTTGTATAAAGATACGGAACATAACAGGTGTCACAGATGTTAGTGCACTTGGGAATAAATTGAAAGCTAAATGACACGTATAATAATCATATTATGATATTATTTATCCTATGAAATAGCTATGTCCAAACATGCCATGCAAAATATTCTTGTTCTTCCAATTTTCTTTTCAGGGAGATGATCCTACCTTCCATTCTTCTGGGCTTGGTTGTGATTTTGCTTCTACAAAATATTTTTCGTTCAGGAGGACCAGTAAGTTTGCTCTCTTAAATACATGTAAAATTCTGTTGATGTATTAAGGATTTAGCCAGTTGGCGGGGCATGTGGGGATGGAAACAGATGTAGTCAAAGGCCACATAATTTTTTGGGTAAAAAAGTAAAAAAAATTGAAATTACTCTTTCTATTTGTATTTAGTACATGCTTCACCTGTTCTGTACTAAAAAGTAATGACCCCCCCCCCCCGCCCCTTTCTCCTACATGTACCATAATTTTGGAAGGCCTGTTTCAAAACCCTGGCTAAACCTGGCATGTAGATCAGTATTAGTATACATTGGGAAGCTATTCTCTCACAGTTGCCTCATGCTTGATAGATTTTATATCATTGTATTTTAATAGAATATAATGGATCTGTCATGTGGTTCACAATATGTGTGTGTGTGTGTGTGTGTGTGTGTGTGTGTGTGTGTGTACACAAGAGAGAGAGAGAGAGAGAGAGAGAGAATGTTGAAAAACATCCAGCCATAAATGATGACAGAGCAAGTGGCATTTTTTTTTTTTAGACCTTGGTATCACCGTTGTCCAGTCTCACCAAGGCTAATTACAAAGAGGCATTCAAGGAAGGAGTCTCGGTCTCGAAAGTGCCTGGAATAACATTTAAAGATGTGGCAGGCCTGAAAGAACCAAAAGTAGAGCTCATTGAGTTTGTCAAATATCTGAAGGATTCGAATAGATTTAAGGTAACTTCTGCTTTTAAAAACTGAAACATTGTTTTTCAGAAGATTGCATACTGTTATCTTTGTAGATTAAAAAAAAATTTTTAGAGGTAAAAGTAAAGATGTTTTTTTTATCTTGTTTTGCACAGTTTATGCATAATAAGTCGAGTTCAGTTAAAAAAACTGATAGATTTAGATATACAAGTTACGATCTAATCATCTGAATCCTGTGTTTCTGAATTTATTGGTTGTGATCACAATTAAGGCAATCACACATTCATCATGTTAAAAGGAAATGTGACTTTTTGATGAATGTTTGAATATTATTTTTAACCCTTTGTTTACTAAGCTGTCACCGTAAAAAAAAATAACTGTGCAAGTATGTCACATAAGTGACATAACAACAACATAAGAAAATGTGACTTTTTGATGAATATTTTCAATTTATCCCTTTAATGAAAGGATGTTTATTAAGCTGTCATCTTTACAAAAATACCTATGTAGGTATGTCTCATAAGTGACGTAACATAACTTCTTTAGAATGAAAATTCCTTCGAACTTGACAATTTATAATTCCAGGCATTAGGTGCCAAAATCCCTAAAGGTGCCCTGCTTCTGGGTCCCCCTGGTTGTGGGAAAACACTGCTCGCCAAGGCCCTGGCCAATGAAGCTGATGTCCCCTTTCTTTACATGGCTGGATCTGAGTTTGTGGAAATGATAGGAGGTATAATGATAATGTTAATAATAAAGAAAATAATATTAATAATAATAATAACAGTCTACGAAAACTTTTGTACCAAGACTGTGACTTACATGAATACATATAAACTCCACCAAATAAATTCGGAAAAATGAAATTGTTTTTCAGTAATAAAAAGATATAACTAATGTAGTGGGGAAAATGCTCAGTGTATATAAAAAGGAATGGTGGGTGCTTGTTTTGGGTCCCATGGTAAATGTTCGGTTTTATTTTTATTATTATTATTATTATTATTTTTTTTTTTTGAAACCTAGGCTCATGTCTGATTAAGAAAACTAATAAAATAATAATTTAATAATATGTTGGACTTATAAATTTCTTTTCTTTTCTAATTCCAGGTCTGGGGGCAGCCAGGGTCAGGGATTTATTCAAAGATGCGAAGAAGAAGTCCCCTTGCATAATATATATTGATGAAATTGATGCCATTGGCAGGAAGAGGGGTGGTGTCTCAGGGGGGTGAGAGGAATGATTATACTTTGAATATTGCTTATAATATCTGCTTGAAAATAGTTCTATGGCAAAAAAAGGAAGCCATCTTCATATATGTGCAGCTAAGGTCCCATTCAGAATGGATGATCTGAGTACTAACTGATCCGCCGATTAAATATGGCTGACCACAGTTCAAAAGTGATGCCTTTACAGAGATTAAATCTCTGCTCTGAGGTTTAATTGTTAGGCCCCTGCAGCTACGGCGCGTGTGGAGGCGGGGAGACCATTAGGAATGAGCAGCATTGCTTTTGAACTGTGGTGGGCCATATTTAGTCAGGGAATCAGTCCAAACACTTCTTATTCCTCGTAAAGACCAAGAGCGTTCACCTTACTGAACACTGACACTGAATACAACTTTCAGAACCAAACAACACAAATAAATATGCAGTTAGTGCACATGCTGAATATCAGATAATAATACTTTTTTGTATGTGTGCATATATAACTTTTTTGTGGGTGTATGTGTGTGTATAACTTATTTGTGGGTGTATGTGTGTGTGTATAACTTATTTGTGGGTGTATGTGTGTGTGTATAACTTATTTGTGGGTGTATGTGTGTGTGTATAACTTATTTGTGGGTGTATGTGTGTGTGTATAACTTATTTGTGGGTGTATGTGTGTGTGTATAACTTATTTGTGGGTGTATGTGTGTGTGTATAACTTATTTGTGGGTGTATGTGTGTGTGTATAACTTATTTGTGGGTGTATGTGTGTGTGTATAACTTATTTGTGGGTGTATGTGTGTGTGTATAACTTATTTGTGGGTGTATGTGTGTGTGTATAACTTATTTGTGGGTGTATGTGTGTGTGTATAACTTATTTGTGGGTGTATGTGTGTGTGTATAACTTATTTGTGGGTGTATGTGTGTGTGTATAACTTATTTGTGGGTGTATGTGTGTGTGTATAACTTATTTGTGGGTGTATGTGTGTGTGTATAACTTATTTGTGGGTGTATGTGTGTGTGTATAACTTATTTGTGGGTGTATGTGTGTGTGTATAACTTATTTGTGGGTGTATGTGTGTGTGTATAACTTATTTGTGGGTGTATGTGTGTGTGTATAACTTATTTGTGGGTGTATGTGTGTGTGTATAACTTATTTGTGGGTGTATGTGTGTGTGTATAACTTATTTGTGGGTGTATGTGTGTGTGTATAACTTATTTGTGGGTGTATGTGTGTGTGTATAACTTATTTGTGGGTGTATGTGTGTGTGTATAACTTATTTGTGGGTGTATGTGTGTGTGTATAACTTATTTGTGGGTGTATGTGTGTGTGTATAACTTATTTGTGGGTGTATGTGTGTGTGTATAACTTATTTGTGGGTGTATGTGTGTGTGTATAACTTATTTGTGGGTGTATGTGTGTGTGTATAACTTATTTGTGGGTGTATGTGTGTGTGTATAACTTATTTGTGGGTGTATGTGTGTGTGTATAACTTATTTGTGGGTGTATGTGTGTGTATGACTTATTTGTGGGTGTATGTGTATATAACAGGCAAGTTTATTTATGTTAAAAGGAATGAAGAAGAAGACCACACCCTGAACGAGTTGCTGGTCCAGATGGATGGGATTGGATCCAATGAAACTGTCATCCTATTAGCCTCCACAAATAGACATGATGTACTGGACAAGGTAATGTAGATTAATTGGTTTTCCTTTGCCTTCTTGAAAGATCTTTTTAAACGTACTACAGGTTATGGATTAGGCTGTAATTTGTAAATACTCTATTTCTAAATCCATGAAGTAACTAAGTAACTGATTCGTTCCTGCCTTAGCATCGCCAAATTCTTGTTCATAATGAAGCCAGTTTTATGATTAATTAGTCTTTGGTGGCTTAAGTGTGTCATGTTTGAGACATGCACGCTACATTAGAAAAACATTTGAGATCCTGTTTGAAGACTCATATTATCAAGAGATGAAGTTTTCTGATGGACAGATTAGATCAAAAAGTCTTTAAACATAAATAAACTTTGGTCAAAATTTTTATGGAATATTTTAAGCCAGTACTTCACCTCCTAATATCATAAAACTGTTCACTCCTGATTATTGAGTATATCTGTGAATACATCTCATTTTTGGCACAATATAAATAGTCTGTTGTGTTTTTTAGTCTACCTAAGTTTCAAAATAATAGCAATGCTATCTTTCATGCTGTCAATCTTGGAGCATTGATTTCAATATTGATTCAAGGCACTCTTGAGAGCTGGCCGGTTTGACAGACACATTTTGATCGACTACCCAACTTTGGAAGAAAGAGAAGAAACATTCATTATGTATTTGAAGAAACTGAAGCTTGGAGTTGATCCAAAAACACTAGCTCCGCGTCTTGCTCAACTTTCTCCAGGAATGAGTGGTGAGTACAACATTGTTATGGCTGCAGAAACAGGAAAAAGTGTTTTTTTTTACTGCCCCCCCCCCCCCCCCCCCCCCCCCCC